CATTTAGTTTTACAAAAGCTGAACAGATATTTGGCTATTTAAGATGTTTAATTTGTCAAAATTTAATCTGAGAAATGTCAGATTTTAATTGGCCTTCATAATTCAGTGGTTAAAACACTGGTATTGTAAGCAAGAGGTCATGAGTAATCCTTACCAAGTATTGCACAGGTACGTATTAGTTTATACGTTAACTGTAGTATATTTCTTTTAATTTTATTCATCATTAATAATAGTCATCATATATGCATATATTTTAAATATTTTCAAAACTTTTATTGGGAACATAAGTACATGGTCATTTTCTTAAACTTCTGACAGACTACTATTACTCTTCTTATACAACTCATTTAAATAAATTACTGATTAGTAATAGTAAGTATATAGTCATCCAGAAAAGAGAGAGAGAGAATATATAAACTTGAAAGAAAGAAAGACAAGACAATGCACTGATTATGTTTAGAGCAAAGGACTTATAAAGATGAAATAGATCAATATTTGAACAAGACCACCATTATATCATTTTGATAGTTTTAGAAGCAACTGAATTTTAACTTTGTAATATTAAAATATGATAGAATAGGAAAATGGAGTTAAATTACAATTTAATTTTTTAAAATAAAGGACATACAAAAAAGACAATTATGTACTAAAGTTAATATTTGGTTGACACATTTAATAACAAAACAAGTATCACAAAACTGTGAATAAATCATTTTAATTGGTTTATCTGGAAAAAAAAGAGAAAAGCCATTTTAAAAATTTTGGCTTTTTTTATTTTATCAATTACATCCATTCAGTTTTTTAAAGCAAATGAATATGAAACTTATTTAACATTTTTAAAGGTTATCTACACAATATTTATGAATTAAACTAAAATACACATACTGAAGGCAAAATGATTTTACCAGATTTTCAGAAAAAGTCATGCTTTAGCTTATGGATACGTTTTAAAAAATAATTATAAATAAAATTAGTAATATTTTCCTTTATTCCACTTTTAATAATAAAATAAGTAATGTATTAATTTATTTAATTCACAGTAATGAAAAACTATTTTGATAAGCTAGTTTATTAAAATTAATTGTTTCAGGACTATAAATGATAGGATTTATTTTATGAGAATATTAAATAAATTAAAACATTACCTATTTCATTAGAAACATAACATTTTCTAAGACTTTAGCTCAATTAAAGACTATTTTTTACTCCTTTTTGAATTCATGTACATATGCCTGCAAATACAAATCATTTATTTAACAGGCATAACCAAATTTTCTGTATTTTTATTTTATTATTGTTTAGAATTTTAATATAAAAAAACCTTGACAACTGAATTTCCTAAAAATGTTTTTTCTACAATCTACTGATGTTCATTTTAGTCAGAAAAGTAGCAAACTTCTTTATTACATTATGTTTTCACATAAGTAATTGTTTTAAAGATCCCCCCTCAAATTAAAGCTTATAATCTTCAAAATGCAACTGACAAAATCTATTTATCAAAATAGAATTTTAAAGGCAACACCCACCACAAAAATATTTTGCATGTTTTTTTTACATAACCAAATAAAATAAAATTGTCAGTTTCAAGTAAGATATATTTCACTTTTCAACACAAGAATATTCAGCATAAAAAAAAAAAAAAATACTCTCAGCATTTATTTTTTTGTACAATGTCAGAGGAGAGATCAGCTGCTAAGTTCTAGTCATGTAGGGTTTTGGAGGTGCACTCATATACCGTACATATTCACAAATGATTGTAGTATACTCTGAGGTAGATCATTTATGTAAAGTAGAAAGACCGTTGGACCAAGAAATGAACCTTGTGTTAATCACTTGGGCCTCACAGGACTGGCCATGAGCAACTATCTTCTTAACTGAGAAGACTGCCTGTGATCCCTGTGATGGTTCAATAACCCTTTATGCCCTTTTCAAAGGCTTTTTGAAATAATGTGATCGTGCTTGATTTGTTGTTTAGTGTCTTACTGATTGTTTGAATAATATATCACCAGTAGACTAGGCCGATTAAAACCAGTATTGTCTGTCACTCAAGAGTTTGTTCCTGTTGAGGTGATCAACAACTTTCTTGTTGATTATAACTTCGAAGAATTTGCTTTGACTAAGTGGAAACCGGGCAATCAATAACTGAGCAATACTAAAAATAAGAACTAGATGAGATATCCCTAGACATGGAAAGTGGGACAAGAACAGTAAAATGAGTTCAGTTTGGAATTCCCTGTAGCTTACACAGACCGCTATATACCTGATGAAGGCTGGAGGACAACAGTTGAAACACAATTGTTTACACTGTAAACAATAAATAATTATTTCTGTTTTTTGATTATGAGTGCTTTCTTGCCAAATATTGTATTCTTAAAGATTTTCAGATAAAACCATTTAAAAACAGCTTTTTTTAAAAACTATATAAATTTCGACACAATGTATGATCCCACACCACATACATACTACATAAAAATCATAATTAATGAAAACTTATTTTTACATTCAGACTAAAAAAATATCATCTTTGTTATTATTACAACGTGTCGTCCGGCCTTCTTCGACAGACACCTGACGAAGGCTGGAGGGCACAACGGCCGAAACGCTGTGATAATAAAGATGAAAACTGAACAACAGTCCAAAAATGTAAATAATGATAACTTCCCACCCCAGGAATTTTTAGACAGATAATTTCTTGTTAGTTGATGGCCTATTCTCAAAAAGAAAAAAAAATTACAAACAAGGTCATCTATGACTAAATTTTAATTTAAACATCATAACAGTTTGTCTGGCCAGGCTTGAAAATGGAATTTCTATGACATTTTCTTTCTTTTTACAGCTAGATTATAACTAGCTGTATTTTTATTTATTTTTTAACACAACCGACATAAGAAACAAAAGTATTTAAAAATTTTAAAAACATACTGAAAACATTTGAGGCGATTTCTTTTTGATTTTTATTAAACTTTTGAATGGTTCGCTTTAACTTCCTATATTTATTTTTACAATCGAGTCCTAGGCTATATATTTCGCAATATGAGTGATGAAGAAAAATTTATTTTTCTCGGTGTTCGTTTGATGCTAAAAGTCAGTTTCAGTTTACCCACGCGGTAAATATAATCTACTTGAAAAACGGAAAAATAAAATACAGTATTCTATGTAAAAATAAATAAAATCATTTTAAATGATCTTTAATAAACCGCTATTTTTCTTAATGAGTCAAACACGGGACGATTCATTTATTTTTAATTACTAAAAAAAAAAAAAAAAAAGTTTTAACATTTAAAAATAACATTCCCTTACGCCAGAAGCTCTGTGACCAGTATATAACATTTTTTTAAAAAAAAGTTTCAATAAAGTCAATAATTCTAAAGTTGGTTATGCTGCGTGAGTTAAAAATTAAAATTATTGAAAATAAAAAATAACTACAGAACTGAATTATTTTATTTTCCTATTTATGAAATTTAAATAGATAACGGATAACCCAGCTTATAATTTCTGCAAACGAAAAATTCATTTGAAAAGTAACAAAATAAAACTAAACAAAAAAAATAAATTGTTATTTAAAAACAAAAATGTCAAAGTTAGGACAGGGAATTTAAAAAAATGATTATTTCAGATTCACTACCACCCATTACATTCATAATTCATATTTAATTCAAAGAAAAGAATATCTTCATTTAATTTAAAAAAAAAAAAAAAAAAAAAGGATAAACAACATTAAAAATAATGTAAACAAAAAAGTATTTATTTATCAATTCTAATGAATTAAAAAATGAAAATTGTTTTCATGCTTTTATTAAGATTTTTTCTTGAAAAATATGGTAGTTATGAAATCAATACTAATTTTGCTTTTGACCAAATTAGATTTTAATAAAATATTGGTAAATAATCATGATTTTTATATTGCTAGAAGAAAAGAAGACTAATTTGTAAAATTAAAAAGTCATTTTTAAAGTTCTAAGCAAAAAAATGTCTAGACACAAAAAATAAACAACTTTAAAAATAAAATTTAATTGATTAATATTAAAATTAAAAAAGAATGAAGATAAATTAGAAAAAGAGTTAAAAACAAAAAACAGAAGTTGATACTGACAAACAAGTGACTTAGTTTTGGTTTGGTGTAGGCGAGTTGTTATATAATAAATAAATTCAAGTCATTTAAAAAATACAAGGATAATAAAAGAATAAAAATAAAAAATGCTTTAAGGCAGAAATTTCCAATTATATATTTTTATCTAAGTTTTTCAAGAGCTGCTTCCCAATTAAAATAAATAAAAAAATATATTTTGCTTGCGCTAATTACAAACTTTTAAAAAACAACGGAAATATACAGTTAAGGTATAAACTAATATAACGGAAAGTATTATTTTCATGCTTTAAAAAAAAAACAAAAAAACAACAGTGGTTGTTTTTATTAAGCAATCGTTTTTAAAAAATACAATAATAATTCCTCAACAACAAAAAAAGGATTTCTATCCAAAGAAAACTTAAAAATTAAATGAAGTTGACAATTAACAATTGTTTAGTTACACAGTTTATGTAATAGAAACTGATGTTTGGAAATGAAAGCAAAAGGTACTGAAGTACCAGTTTACAATTACATTTAAAACTTAATTTAGAAAATGAAACAATAAAAACATTTTAAGCCCACATTTAGGGAAATTATATTAAAAAATGGCGATCTTAAAAATAAGGCTAAGGCAAAAAAAACTTAGATCTTTCTTTTTCTCCTTTTTCTTGAAAGCATTTTTAGATATTAATTTATTAAATAAGTAAAGAAATTGTTAAGAAGAAAGCAGAGCTAACATAAATAATTAATAAACAAATTTAAAAAATCAAGATGAAAACAAAAAGCAAGAAGAACATAAAGTAAAAAAAAAAAGGAACAGCTGTATTTGAGATTTTTCTGTTTTGGTTTTTCTAAAAGAAAACAAAAAAAAATGAAAGCAAAAAGAGAAAAATATAAGTTTTTTTTTTTTTGTTGTTTTTCACCAGTTTACCTCGCTAACTTGATATCCTCCCCATACGACCATGAAGTTGCCAAAACAGGCGACCACATGGCCGGCTCGGGCTGAGATTATATATCTTCCACGACGGCTATTCGGATTCATTAAAAAAAACAGTCGGAAATCTTCAAAAGACGAGTTGTCATGCTTTTTTTCGGGTTTTCCCCCCCTTTTTGTTTCTTTTTTTGGCCTTTTTACAAAGCAAAAGGGTATTTTCCCCACCTCGGTGGTGTTGCCCGCCTGTTTTTTTTTTTTAGTCTTCTCTGTCCAATCAAGAATTTTTTAGGAACCCCACCAGGGGAAAAAAAAATTAAACATTTAACGAAGATGCCACTTTTGAATTTTTCGTATCGAGTAGAGAACGTCACAAATCAAATCTAGCAGACATCATGGAAATGACAATGGCCTTGACCTTGTATGCAATACGGACCGCCATCACTTCCGCTTCCATTACTACAGATGTAGCACAGTGGTGAGAGCAGAGGACAAATATTAATGAGGACTATAGGGAGTTACTAAGCTTAGCTTAGATGTGGCACAAGGCTGAAAATAGGGAGCACCCAGGGAGGATCGAACACACTACTTAGTCGTAATTGATCTAGCAAGATAAGCTTGTTAACCATTATACCATTTCAAAATGATCTTAATGAGGACTATAATGCTGCATTCTGATACTAGATTTATAAAGTAACTGTAAATTTAAACATATTTTTAGTGTGTTGGCTACTTCTATAATTAATGTATAAGGTTTCTATGAGAATACCTTACATGTAATAATGGTGGTGCAAAGGTACAAGCACAAAATAACGGAGATTGATTTGCAATACAACATAACATTTTTATTTAACAAAAGTAGTAAAAGAAAAGTTTCAAAGTTTCTTTTCCTAAAAAATAAATTGAATACATAACAAAAAATTCTTAATGAATGTATTTGAGTGTGACTTGCCTGTGTAGGTGTGTTTGTGCATGAAGCGTTCACAGCCCTTTTTGCTTCAATGTGAAAAATTAATGGTACACAGGAAAACAGAAAAAAAATTTTACTTAAGGGTCCCCTGTTTTTATACCCTCAGGGCTGCTGCTGATAATATGTTTATTAAGGCATTGCACATTTATAATTTTGTTGATTCAAAAACTAATAAGTGATTTTTTTCCATGACTTAAAATTCTGTATTTTTGTCACAAAACCACAATTATCAAGCAATTAGTAAGAATCAAACTCACTAATTTTATTTATTTATTTATTTATTTAAAAAAAAAAAAGAACAGGGATTTGGAAGACAAGATGTAAAGTGATAACATTGTGGAGTTCCCCCACTTACTTTCCTAAAAAAATGTAACTAGGAGACACTTCCTAAGCCTATAAATAGACAGTGACATTCTTTGTCATCCTCTCTTTCTGTTATTTTTCTCTAGCTTTTAGATGTAGTCGGACATAGATAAGGATGCTGCCACTGAGGCATGTTCACTTCACTTGGTCCTCTGTTGACTTTTGAACTCTCTCAAATACATGCATATATACACATGTGTCTATCACACATGCTTGTTACACTTAACAACATTGTTACATAAACAACTTCACTAGTTTAAATGTTTTCTCCATTCATGTTCATTGTTTTGTAACATACAACAATATTCTAGTGTCTATGTATGCCCTTGTTTTGTTAATACATACTAATCATTTATGTCTATAGTTTTGGTGTTACCTTCATTTTATTACCCAGACTCACATTCCAAGTTTGCCATTATTGTTGTGGGAAATATATACCAGGACACTTGTGTTTTTTAACTTAAACACTCAACCAGTACACCCGCAACAACATTTAAATTTTAGAAGATCATGGTTAACCAAAAAGCAAGAAACCAGAAGAGAGTTTCACAGGTGAGGAGTGCAAGAGAAGAAAATATTAAAATCAAACTAACAGATGCATTTACTTGTTTCAATCATAAAATGATGAGATCTAGTTGCCAATCTAATATTTAAATTAGATTGAGGTGCCAAAGAGGAAAGTTCATTAGGACAATTGCCATGAAAATACTTATAGAAAAGGCATAGAGAAGTTACATTATGGTGACAGGAAAGTAAGTGAAGCTGAGATGCCAGGTCAGTATCATTGTTTGGATTTTGTCAAGAATATTGAGATATATAGCAGAAGCACTAGAACAAGAATGGTAGCAATATTCAATACACAAATGAATTATCTAGCACACTAGTAATTCCTCACTCAAAATATGGTGCCCTTTACATAGAAATGTATATCAATATCAGAGTTATTTAGCAATTGGATGTGACAGTAGCATAGTGATTACAGGCATGGTAAGTGTAATTGTTGAACCCAGTTCAAATTCCAGTTGAGTCTGTTGTGCTTACTTTGAACTCATGACCATGATAAAAGCATCTTCCTCCAGCTATGGTTTAAATAGTAGATCAGACCGGTCTCTCTAGCCTTGGGTGGCAGACAGTCTAGGAGAAAGAAAATGATATGTTGCTAGCCTCTTGCTACTCTTTGCTATTTTTATGACAGATTGTCGGGTGAACTACATTTCTTGGTTTCACTAGTTAACACCTTCACAGTCCTCAAGGACACATAGCCCAGTGGATAAAAAGGTTGGTTGAATCCAGTGACTTGAGCCAAAGAATTGTGAGTTCAATACCAAACTACAGCTGAGGGGAACACAAACATGGAGAGTTGAGAGATAACTGATACTGAGGCATCCAGAAGAGGCATAGTGCATGGAACTAGAACAATCTACTCTGGTGGATGAAATAAAGAGCTCAGTTCGAAATTGTAATCATAGGAAGAAAGCTGGAACATACAATGGCTGAAACGTTGTGAATATGCCAATGAAGATGAGGAAAACAGTCTGAACAATGTAAATAGTGTAAATAAAAAAAAAATGAATTAAAATTGCTTGTACACATGATATAAAGTGCCAGAATAATATTGAAGTTTCATCTGAATTTTCATTGCAACTGATCCTTGATCAGCCATCCTGAACGTCACCTTGTTACTGGACACAAAAATGGATTTTAATAGGATGGGTCTAGACTTGTGAAATCTCTTACTGACCCAATAAGAACAAATAATGGTTGACTCTAGATTTGAACAGGTTAAGATTGTAGTGATTAGGAAAACATCTTCTTGGGAGTCTGTTCCATAAGGTTCGTGGGAAGAAGCTGTTTGAGTGGAACTGATTTGTCAATGGAATATGGAGGGAATGTGGGTGGGGTTGCTACTATTTAAGTGGCATGGTGAGTCCTAGCCATGAAGGTCATATCTGGTGGAATCATGAGATACAGTTTGTCCAAACACTTTCTGTAGTAGTAACAACAGAGCAGTGAAAGATTCACCACATTCCACCTGTGAGAGAGAGCTTGGAGTGTGGAAAATAATTCTTCTCCAACAAGGACTCAGAGACACTTTTGATTTCTATCGAGACTGGAAAGTAAGGTCTGGGCAGCTCCTGCCCAAATATTCTTGAAAATAATTACATTTACATATATTTAAGATTGATAATGATGGCTACATTGAGTTTAGTTTTGGTACAAAGCAAAAGTGCAGCAAATGCGAACTAAACTAACTATTCATTTGTATCAATCTGGGAAGTCAGCTTACTTTTACCCAATGGTGATGTGCCATTTGCATTTTTAATTACACAGAAATGTCTATCATTGTATAGTTATCTCCAAATTTTAGCTTAGTTCTGGCACAAGTTTGGAGAATTTCAGTACTCACTACTCATTTTTAAGGACCTGGGTGATCAGTTTACTTAAACATTATACCATGATGAGTCACTTGAAAATATAGAATTGTTTATATGTCATTATGGTACTGGGGCTATTGCAATTTCTTTGCCATTTCAATTTTACTATATATATTATTGAGAAATTTTGTGGACACCAAATGAAGAAAGAAGGTGTAACTGTCTTAGGGATGGTGTGAGGGGATTAAGTACTGAGAGCGATCTCATAATTCAATCTACACCAGTCATGTAGTAACTGCCATATATTGAAGGGAAAACAAAACTAATAAAAATAAAATGAAATATATAAACAAAAAAAAGAGAATTAAAATAAGGCATTTGTTTTACTTTAAAACCTTTATCTCTTTTCTCTCTCTCTCTCTCTCTCTCTCTCTCTCTCTCTCTCTCTAAACTTCTCTCTCTATAGTTCTCCCTCAGCTAATGAGAAAGCAATCCTCAAATAAAATGAAGAAAATAAGACTGAACCCGGCCAAAAAAACAGGATAAGGCAACTGGACTAGAGTTTAGACGTTGACACTGGAATTTTGTCAAAATAAGAGAGGCTCCATGCATAACTTCTGTTATATAAAAAAAAACAAAAAAAAAAACAAAAAAGAAACGAAATAAAAGAATTTTGGCTAATCAATAAAATTAACACAAAGAGATTTTTGATGTTAGCCAAAACCAAGCTTTGCGCCAGTAGTCTGGTAGTCTAGGAGCCTTGTTAAAAAGTATATAAACAGTTAAGAGTCAGAAGAGGAGAAGGTACTGCCAGAGAAACCAGCCATGTGTGTCACATGAAAAAGTTAAATGGTCATCTGCTTAAGACATTTTCCCCACCTTCTTAGAGCCAAGAAAAGACAACAGATTGACACTGACATTTTTTTAAGATGACAACTACCACCAAGGCCTGACTTCTAAACTCCTAATTACTTAACCAAAATGGACTTTCTCCCAACTGCTACCAAGATATGACTTATAAATAAACTTTTGCTACCCCAAATTACAGAGAAATCACTCCAAGCTAAATCAAATAAATAAACATGTACTATTTGTTTATAGCTTATACCCTTGATTCAGTCTTATTCCAAAGTTTCTGATAAATAAATACTAATAATCCTCTGGCAAATATTCACGTTGTTGACTCTGATATGGTTTGAACATGCAACCATTGCAGATAAATTTAATCTCAAACTCATACCAGAATTTAACAGTACAGATTCCAACCAGTCCATTGTTGAATGGATTGAAAAGACAGAGTTGATATGCCCTCTGAGTGGGTTAAA